TAAGTATAACCGACGGTGGTCTTTGACCATATGGACGCAAAAACAACTTACATATCATATTCCGCGTAAATCTCACGTACACACGTGAAATTTGACGTAACTCAGCAACCAGCGCAACTGGAGTGCTGAAACTTTTTGAGCGCTGCCCGGGTCCGTGTTTGAGCAACTGCGACCGAACAGAGCATTCACGTTGCCACTCACGCACGAACATGTGAAATCTGACGTTACTCCGCAATCGAAGCATCTAGAGGGCTGAATTTTTCGGGCACGGATTGAGAGTCATTGTAATAATTTCTAACAGTCGTGGGCCAGTCTCAATTTTTTTAGCCAGGAGCATCTGTCGGAAAGAACATGCCACTAGTGAAAAAAACCTGCGGGGAAACTGTGCAAAAAACGCATCCTCGCACCGTCAGCCGGTGCCTTCTCGACTAGGTTGGTATTTCGTTGCGAGCCTACCTGATGTTGTGTTGCGCACTCCCACATCTCTCCTGACGTGTGTTCGTGTTCTTCAGTCTCCAAATACCATATCAGTGTTCTTTTCAGATTCTTTTGGGACCATGCACAGTGCATACAGTTACAGGCTGTTACTAAATTTCGGTTTGGCCGGGGTTGGGGAGCCGGTTGCGACGATTGTGGCATACTCCTCGGATGGCTGGGCAGGGCAGGGGTAAGCCGAGAGTGGTAGCTCAATCCGGCAGGGGTGACAACAAAGGGGAGTGGACGGGGTTGCTGAATGGGGAGGAGTTGGGACGTTACTTAGAGCAAGTACTGCAAACTGGGGAAGGGATTCTAAGGGGACGGGGGCATGTGCGTTTATGTTTGGCAAGAAATTGTTGCTGAATTAAAGCCGGTGAGTTTGTGTGCAATGCCTAAAATATTACTTAAACAAGGCAGCTGCTGAGTGGCATATGTTTCCCAGCCTACAAACACATGTATTACACGTGGTCGAGCGGAGCCACGTCAACTTTTTCTTTTCTCTTTTCCTCCTTCATTTCTTTCTTCTTTCTAGCTCCTGTCTCATTTTGAATATCTCAATATTTACTTTTTCACATGGTGGTTAGTGGGCTGTACTGATGGTTCCCGTTCACAACTAGACCTTGCACTGTCTGTGTTTACAGCTAAGGGATAAAGCACAAAGAGGCCATCCTACATACACGCTGAACATGACCATTTATAGAACGGTTTGTTCCACCATTAGTAACCCAACGCCATTCTCTATTAAATTCTATCCTTCCAGCCTTAAACCATGTGGAATTCAGTTTTTATGCGCTTTTTGCATCTATGCAATGCAGAAAACGCATTTTGACGAGAGGGTGTGTGTGTGTTTGTTTGTGTGTGCGTATTTGTGTGTGTCTGTGTGTGCGCTGCGTGTCTGTACCAATTTTTCATCTCAAGACCCATAAAAGTTACAGGACTGAAAATTTGGGAGCTTAATCCAAATGTGTGTATGGGAGGTTAATCCAAATGTGTGCTTAATCCCATTTTGAAATGGACGCCCTTACTCGCGCGGTACCCACGTATGGGCCCGCCAATATTTTTTCGGGTAAGTTGTTAATTCGGTAACCTGAGAAGCTGGAAGGCTGGAATTTTAAGGGGATATTTCACGTCTAAGTAGATATTAATGAGTTCAAACCCAGCCTTGGGGAATGCGTGGTACTTACGTATGGACTTGTGAAAGGTTTCTATGGTTAACTTTTTAACTCGGCAACCTGAAAAGCTAGAAGACTGTAGTTTTAAGGGAATGTTCCCCGCCCTTAAAGGTGTTGATGAGCTCAAACCCAGACATCTGGTATGCGTGGTATCCACCTACGGACCCGCCAAAGTTTTTTTCAGGTAAGTTGCTAACTTGGAAACCTGGGAAGGTAGAAGACTGAAATTTTAAGAGGTGTTCCCCGTCCACGTAGGCAATAATGATTCCAAACTTAGCCCCCGAGTATTTGTGGTTTCTGTTTAAGAGCCCGTGGAAGATTTTTGCGGGTAAGTTACTAATTCTAGAACCAGGAAAGCTAGAAAGTTGAAATTTTGAACGGATGCTTCCTGACAATCCTGGCGGCCAGTCTCAATTCTTTTAGATAGAAACATTTGTTGAAAAACCGATGCCGGTAGCGAAAAAAGCTGCGGGGAACTATGCAAAAAACGCATCTTCACACCGGCAGTCGACGCGTCGGCCAGTTATTTACTTTGTGTTATTCTTCTGTTTACCTGCGGCCGCAAATTACCATCGCACATTAGCCACAACCCCGATATTCCTGCTTGGATTAACTACTTTTGGCTGGCCTTTATAAATTTTGGCGCCCATCCGGGTAATATCCTTAGCTACGGGGCCGCTGTTCCGGCCCTTCTTTCCCTCACAGGGCCCTTCAGGCCCGTACTGCCTTTTTGTAGTGATTTATAATATGGTGGTTAGGGGGGCTGTATTGATGATTCCCAATCTTTACCAGATCTCCTGCTATCTGTGTTTACAGCTTAGGGATGAAACACAGTCATGCTTCCTTTTACACACCTCTCTACATAACTTTTTCGCATGACATACGGTTTCTGTACATATGCAACACTACAATCTTCTTCCCTTATTTTAGTTCCCTTTCCCCTTTTTAACTAACTTATTTGATACCGCAATGCTGCTGAATGCCGTCCTACGGATAGGCTATTCATAGTCGCCTTGTAGGGCTGGTACTGCCCGTGCTGGTCTTTACCCTTCACTGAATTGGCCGTTGTTCCTGTCGGTTAGCTTATTAACCTTCTCCTATAGGGCCTTTACGGTCCGTACTGCCTTCCACTTCCATGATCCTTTCCTTTCCACTTCGTAGTTGTCGTAATTCCCTTGAGATAATTTTTTAGCGTTCATCATATATATATTTTTTTTCAGCTGATGCAGTAATACATGCTGTTGTC